AAGTAAAGAAATAGCAGAAATGCTTTATTATAAGGATATTTATTTTATAGAAATAAAATAGATCTGTCTACAGTAATATATCAATAGTATTAGTAATTTAATTTGGATATAAGTCAAGGCCTAATATTTTTTTTAAGCTAAATTGGTAAATAACAGATAGAAATATTGCGTTTTTTAATTAAAAATGCTCCCTTCTGAATATACTTAATAAAACACTTTTAACAAATATCAGTCAAATATGCAGCTATATTCACCTCTGAAATTTTTGAATCATTTGAAGCTGCAATTCTGATTGGTTTTACAAATTGATTAGGAGTATATGCATTAATAGTTTGAGAAATTTAAGCAAAGGCAAAATATGCTATGCTAATATCCGTCGCATAGATATTTAAAAATAATAAAAATATAGCAATATGATTTTGAAGTTTTTTCTTCTTTGTTTAAGTACAGAAAGTTAAATTGTTGTAAAAAAATAGCCTGTTCTATATTTTTAAGTCAAAGGGAAAAGTTTTCTTCTCAGAACGCGTTCTCAGTTAATCATATACACTGCGAATATAAGTTATTCAAATACCTTGAGAATTCCTAAATTTATAACACTCATTAATATTTAAGTACAAAAATTTGTTTATAAACTTATCAAATAATTATGAGTAAGGTAACAAACTATAAGGAAATGATTTGAATATTTTAAATGATATTACATTTGCACTGTATCCTTAATGAGTAAAATGATAATAATGAGAAATGAGTAAAATGATAACGTGTGGACTGGGTTGAGGGAGAATAATAAGTACCAAAATTTCCGGAGTTTACGCTGGAGAATAAATGGCAGGCCCAGCTAGTGTTTCTTTTTAAGTTCACCAGAACTAATTTTCTTAGATTTTCATGATATACATCAAGAATTTTTATGTTCTTTCTGATTAATTTCCCAACTATAACCATTCTTTTTAATCTGAACTTATTTTTGATTGCCTCATCTTTCAAGATGTTTATAAACAACATAAATGCAAAATATTTTATTGTGAGGAAGCATTACGTATACAACAATATTAAGGGCTTCTAAACGAGTTTTGGGATAGGGACAGAAATTTCCCCTTGCACCCAATGTTAAAATTCCAGACCATATGGTTCTCAACCTATAAGCAAGATAACACAACCACACATATCACTAATTTATTAATATATAACACTTTTTTAAGGAATTTTCAGAATCTTGCGTAGTAGCCCAGCAAATAAATAAATAAAATAATTAAAAAAAATGCAATTCAGAATGAATGAAAAAATCTTCTTTTCCTACAAAAAGAAAAAATAGATCTCAAAATCACTTTAACTAAACTACTTTCCTTGTACGTTTCTCCGGTCCCGCAGTGGACTGATCGTTAAGACGCGGTTCCCAGCAGATCACCGAAGTTAAGCATCACTGGTTGCGGTCAGTGTGCGGGTGGGTGACCACTTGGATCAGTCTGCGTAGGGACTGAGGGTGTGCGGTATTGGTCCTCGTTAAACTGTTCAACCGTAAAGTTTTCGACTTCGCGTGCAGGTCGTTGGGCTACCGAAGAAGGGATGCCATCCCCTCTGCAGAAGATCAAAATTGTGATGGCTTGTCTTCGGATCATCCTCAGGGGTGTTTCCCAGACCGTCGCCAATAGCCTCTAGCAGCTCTAGTGCGACGTAAATTAACTACAACTACAACAACATTGTAAGTTTCTCCTTTAAAGATGCTTAACAAAAATATCCAACAGTTCGAATCCCGAAATCACCGAAGGAGGTCAGCGCTTTTAGTACAAAAGGATACAAATAATAAAATAAAGCATAATATATTCTATATTTCAAGAAAGCATAATATATTCTGATTCGATGCTCCCTAGCATGGTTACCGGTATTTGTTAGTTCGTAGTTCGTATTTGTTAAACTCTTCAGTGATGTTGTGGTATGAACCTATGATATTCTTTGCCTCAGTTAAGGTCATGAGTACTTTGTCTACTCTACTTCCTTTTTCTTCTTTTTTGTCGTCTCGCAGTGGTTGTTGTTGCAATAAATTTACGTCGCACTAGAGCTGCACAAAGGGCTATAGTCCATTGTGATGATCAAGTGCGACATAAATGAACAACAATCTTCTTTTTTGTCGAGGCCAATGGAGAAATTCGCAATATTCTGTTTGGATCTTCAGTAATATTTTATTAAGTGTTATTTTATTTTTATTCAATACACATAAATTTCAGTTTAATGTGCAAGAAAGAAACCTATTGATTACCTTTTATCCATATCTGAAATAGATAACTCAAATTAAGCAATGATATATCAACATGGAAAACCCAGTAAGTCGGTGTTATGGGTTAAATGCACGCCTACCGCGAATTCAGTCGAGTTTAGACTCCTGGTGATAAAAACCTGGGTGCCTGATTGGACGGCAGATTCTCCGAACGGATCTTAATGGTTCTTATTGGCTGATTACTACCGTCATATACTCTTGATCCTAATAGTGATAGCTTAGTGCACGTATGCATCAGTATTGTCTTTGGACTGTCGATAAGGATGAAACCCAAACAGTTACCAATAGCTCATTAGTTTAGCTTTTGTGCTCTGTTAATTATCAAACTGACACAAAAATAAGACAATAGCTCTTTGTACAACAATAATGAGACGTGGGGATCTTCCTGGCCGAATGTTATTGCTATCCAAACGATGTGTGTAGCGCGGAAGCTGCTTCTTCAAGTCCCGCTGTTACCATTCTTCGTGCTGCCCTTCTCCATATTGTGCTATCTGTCCCTTTACTTGACAAAGGCTTATAGGTTTTAATTGAGCACACATCTGAAAATGCATGTTGTACCAATAAATAAGTAAATACTGTGACATAAATAAAGAACCTACCTCCAAAAAAGGAAACGAAAGTTAATGTTGTTGTTGTAGTTCAGTTACGCCGCAGTAGAGCCGCACAATGGGCTATTGGCGACGATCTGGGAAACATCCCTGAGGATGATCCGAAGACATGCCATCCCAATTTTGATCCTCTGCAGAGGAGATGGCACCTCAGCTTCGGTAGGCCAACGACCTGCACGCAAAGTTGAGCACTTAACGGTAGAACAGTTTAACTAGGACCAATACCGCAGACCCTCGGTCCCTAAGCAGACTGATCGAAGTGGTCACCCACCCGCACACTGACCGCAACTAGTGATGCTTGACTTCGGTGATCTGCTGGAACCGTGTCTAAAGGATCAATCCACTGTGGGACAAAACAAAAGTTAAATATAAAAAAGTTATACCCATTATCAGTGACCCCGTATAGCGGAAGATGTAACGGGGATCGATTATTGCTGTAATTTTAAGTAGATCTTAGATTCTAATTTTGTTTTGCTGTTGTGACTCTTGAGGTTTAATTTTAGGAGATACTATAAATTCCAGATGTTATGAATCTAAAAGCCTGTAGTTTGAGCTGAGCTTCAATTATGCTCTTGAACTGAAATAAGAAATTTGGTGGAAAACTCATTTCTTATAGGTTGAGTTTTCCCCTTTTCATCAGTTGTAAGAGGAAAAAAAATTGCACTAAATGAAGTTATAAATAGTTATGTTTTTCCAACTTAATTAAACTTTATGAAACTCCCTGGCCGAACGTTATCGGTATCCAAACTCCATGCAAAGCTTGGAGGTTATAGGTTCGTATCCCACCGTAACACTGGATGTATTCTTCGTGGCGTCCTTCCCTGAATTGTTCTGTATGTCCTAATTGACAAGGGCTTATAAGCTGAAATTGAGCTGAAAATGTAAGTAATGAAAATGTAAGTAATTTCACCGCTGAAAATGTAATTTCAATAAAGCAATTAAACTTTAGCATATTATTTGCTTAAAGATTACTGTGGCTTTTTAATAACTTCGAAAAATACTCATTTTCTTCTCTTTCGCTGTTCAGAATTTGATTCCAGTGTATTTTCAACTGTTATTATGAAAGTTTGATTCCGATAAATTAAGGTTCCAAAATGCAGCGAAGAAGGCCATTGATTCGTGTCTTTTAGTTAAAGATAAAGTTTGCCAATTATTAGTTAATATCATTTTTATTTTATTGCTATTTTATAACCGTCGTTGAACAGCCGACCCAATTTTTTGGGTTTACGACTACTAATGTTCAACTCCGTAGTCTTGTAATTTTGAACCAATCCAGAAGACTGGGACACTCCTGGATCAATACCCCCAGAGGTTTGATTTGTTATGGGAACATGGACGACTTTGTGACTCGACAGATTTAATGTGTAGCAGTCACCATTTACTACATGGGGAATCTTCGGCCGGCGGGGATCGAACCCACGACCTAAATGGACATACGACCAGTGTCCTACCAACCAGGCTTCATTGTAGACTCAATCTGCTATGATATTTTGTGAGTTAAGAGTCATGCAACCTTTTGAAAAGTGTTTCTTTTTTCAAAAATCTATTAAAGCTTTGTTGTTCTTTTCTATTCTATTTAAGAGCTTCTGCGCTCTTCGCCTTGTAGCAAGAGCCTTCTAATAACACTCGTCCAGCAGTGGACTGATCGTAATGCATAGTTCCCAGTAGAACACCGAAATCGAGCATCACTGGCTGCGGTCAGTGTACAGGCGGGTGACCACTTGGATTAGTCAGCGTAGGGACCGATGTTGTGCCGCAATGGTCCTTGTCAACCGTAAAGTGCTCGATGGTCAACCGTAAAGTGCTCCTTGTCAATGGTCTACCGTAAAGTGCTCCACTTCGCGTGAAGGTTGTCGGACTACCGAAGCGGGGGTGTCATTCCCTCTGCAGAGGATCAAAATTGTGATAGCATGTCTTCTGATCATCCTCAGGGATGTTTCCCAGACCGCTGCTAATAGCCCATTGTGCAGCCCTAGTGCGACGTAAATGAGCTACAACTACAACAACAACTACAAGCCCATTGTGCAGCTCTAGTGCGACGTAAATAAAGTACCTACCAACCATCTAATAACACTCTAACAATTCTTCAAGGACTTTGGAACATCAACCTGTAACCTTCTCTGGTCTCAGTTCCAGTCTAGAAGTTAAGTCAGTTAGACACCCAATCTACGCATGCTGTTTGCAAAAATGGTTTTGATTGACAAAAATAAGAAGATGGAATCTTTCCAACAAAAAAAAAATCAAACTTGTTCCACAATTGACTATCTTGCGAGAATATACGATAAATGAGAATAAAACTATTTATAAATTTTAAGAAATTGAATATTTTTCTACTCGTTTCGATACATTTGTGGCCATGCAGCGTTACAATAATTTAAGTGAGTGCATTAAAATGTGCGATAGAATATTAAGAACCAATCCGTATCCAAGAAGTGACTTGATGAAACCAGAAGTTAGTCAAGTACAAAATATACAAATATTGGAAAATTCAAGTAAGATAAGACTTGTTTAATTCATTCTTGTTTTCATAATTAACTATTATTTGAAAATACTTGCATAATAAAAGTATTGATTTCAAATTAAAATGTTATATTTTAAATTTTTTTCTTTATTTTCCTTTTTATTGTAGTGTAAGAAAACTGCCTATTTGTTGTTATTTAAATGCAGATTGCATCCAATTAACTTGAATAAAAACTAAGATTTTTAACTTATTATTTCTTTTACTAGTTATTATATTTTAACCTTATTTTATCCTAATTTATATGTTTCGAAAAATATTGAGTATTTTACTAAATTAGTAATAAGAATTAAAACAGTATAAAGTAAATCTAAAATTCCAGATTTCTTCTTTACGTGATGCTTAATTAAATGCTGTAGATTCTACATTTACTGGAACTCTAAGTAAAAAATAAAAAGAAAGTTATGAAATTTTGGAAAGTTTTCCAGCTCTGAAATAATTTATTCAAAGCTTGTGGAATGTTTACGTGGTAATAATTTGTATAAGCATATAGTTATCAACCATTTCAAGTATATATCATCTAATTTAGCCTTTTGCAATTTTGCCTTTTGTCACCAATGACTTTAATGTAAGTGAAAAAGAACAAAATGAGAAAAGATAAAACTAAAACATTTCATTATCTAGATAACTATGATATTGTTTACTTGTTTCTTTTTAAGTTTAGACATTAATAGACATTTAGTTAGTATGAATTATTAGTAAATTTTTTGATTATAAATATTTACATTAGTTGGACACCTATTTTGACAAATCAGGTCATAATGTTTTACATTCTATAAAGTAGAACCATAGTGTAGACAAACGAATTATTCTATCCTATATATTTTTCTGTGTTGAATTAAATTCCCAAAAATGAAAACAATAGAACTATTTGTTCGGAATTTAAAATATTGGTTATGATTTTTTTCATGTATAAAATGATCAATATTCGAATTTATACGCTTTAGGGGAAAACAGTAATTTCAATGCTTGAAACAGTAATTTTAATGCAGCTATCAAACTCTTTCAATTTTACAACAATACAAATTAACTGCAGTTTTTCCTCAGATTCATCAGTAAGTATACTTCTGAAACGATTACTGCATAATTACTTCAAATTTACTGCAGAACAACCACGGATTTAAAGATTCAGTTTTTTCTAAATTTATGCTTTTAAAGTTACTTCTCTTAAACTACAGTAACTTCGTAGACAATAGCTAAAGTTTTTTTCGGAATAAATTACTGATAATCATATTAACTGCAAAATAACTGAAGTGATTTTACAGTTGAGATTGCACTTCAGAAAATATGCAGTTAACTTTAGAAATACTACAAAATCAACATTGAGGCTGCAAAATCAACATTGGAAGTTTGTGAAAAATTGCAGTTTATTTTTATCTGAGATGCTATAGTATTTAGTGACTTTCTTGGTAGAGGGCGAAATTACCACCCAATCTGATTGTTAATTTTAGGTACAAATTTGCTATTTCTCAAAACAGTGAACGCATTCCACCCCTCCAGGACAATAATAGTGCAGAATTTTCTACCAGAAGCTGAAGTGCACGTCCGAAGTTTCATTGCCATGTTTGGAATCGTCGAGATTTGTGAAGTTATCGGAGATGATGCATTATCAGCTTTGGCAGTGGTGCAATATAAATCAAAAACCTCAGCAGCTGATTCTTTACTTGCGATGCCGAATTGTCAGGTGAGTATTCTTTTCATTCTATTTTTATTTTATCGGGCATAACAATTATTGTATTCTTGAAAACAAAAACATAATGCAATAATGCTGTTAATAGTATATAAAAAAGCTTAGACAAACCAGAAGTTATCAGATGGTAGATTATAACTATTTCATATCAAGATATTAATTTTGATTGTTATAACATAAAAAGTCTTTCTTAAAGTTGTAAAATAAATTTTACAATATTATAGTAACTATATAGTTTAGTTTGAAAAATTAAAAGGCTCAATACTCAGGTCTTAATTGATTTTCATGATATATTAGTTTCACTGTTAGATCTCTTCTATCGTCATAGAACATGACTATTTTTTCCAGTCTTTCCTCTTTGTTGTTGTAGTTAATTTACGTCGCACTAGTGCTGCACAATGGGCTATTGGCGACGGCCTGAGAAACATTCCTGAGGATGATCCAAAGACATGCCATCGCAATTTCGATACTCTGCAGAGGCGATGGCACCACCCGTTTCGGAAGCCCGAAGACCTGCATGCGAAGTCGAGCAGTTTAAGGTAGAACAGTTTAACGAGGACCAATACCGCACACCCTCGGTCCTTACGCAGAGTAATCCAAGTGGTCACCCACCTGCACACTGACAGCAGCCAGTGATGCTTGACTTCGGTGATCTGCTGGGAACCATGTCTTAACGATCAGTCCACTGCGGAACCTTTCCTCTTTTAATGCATTTGAATTCGGCATTGACAGATCTTCAGAGAATTTAAAAATTTTAATTTCAGATAACTGGAGCTGTGACGCATAGTGTAGCCGAAATCAGAACAATTGCCGCCACTTGCAAACAAATTTCTTAGCGTCGAAAGCAAATAATTAAGTTTAAAAAAAACGAAAGATAATGTTAACAACAAAAAAAAATAAAGAAATGGAAATAAATACTTGTTATTCTTCAGTTGAAACAACTTCTACAAATAATGCCCTCTACTGTTAAGAACACAAAACATGGTCGAGAATAAATCATTATATGAATAGAATCCTTGAATTGTTTGGTTAAAACCTGCAAACTACTTATAGAGGTCAGATTAGCTTCGAACCACTATTTTGGATGTTGTGACAATAATACGGGGTACATTTTCAGCCGACGTAATTAGTGATAAAATTGAGCCGTGGATTTCTTATAATTGATTTCATCATGTGATATGTAGTAGTATGATCAAATGGTTCAACTTAATGTAATAAAAGAATTTTACTATGCAATGAACATCAAAATTTTTAAGTCTTTGCATGATACTTATTTCAAATCTAAAAAAACGCTTTTAAAGTTACCTTATACTAAATGTCATGTTTTTTTTTCTCGTTTTTACAGTAACTCAAAAAAACATGGTATACTTATGCAATTAACTTTTTATATGAAAAAATACTAACCAATATAGTATTTTGTAGTATTTTTATCACCTAGATTCGTGGCAACAACTTGGTTGTAAACTTATTGTGGAATGGCCCATATGAACATATTAGTTCCATAACCTCCAGTGTTATTCATTCACCTCCTGAATGCGCAGAAAAACGAGTTGTCTGTGTTGGACATTTACCTAGATCCATCACAAAAGAGGCCATCCTCAGGAAATGCGAAAACTACGGTGTTGTAGAAAATGTCAGGGTTCAACCTCAAGAACAAGGAGCATTTGTATTCGTTGTATTTCAGTCTGCACTGTCTGCAGCTGTGGCTACTTACTGTTTACGCAATAGTTCGCTGACCAGTGCAGCCTTGATGCTTGGCTACGGGTAAGTTTACGTTATTTAATGCATTCATTATTAATGCAACACGTTATTAATGCAACACGTGAAACATAAGCGATTTTAAGATATGGAAATATCTCAAAGATACAGAAATGCCTCAAATAGAGCAGAAAGTTATAAACTTTATTTCGGACACTTTTTTGTTTTTTTGCCTAATTACCATTTTTGATGCTAGCCTATCTAAATTTTTTTAAAACAATTGACGAGCAAGAATTATACAATTTTTAGAAGAATAGCATTGAATACCATCTACTACTCTTACCTAGTAGAAAGGGTATCTTAGGTAAGAGATATTTTATATTTGATTAATTAAGCGGAAGGACGTAGCAAATAAAATTGAGGTTAAGGAAGTATCGTTCTGCTACCTGCAACGTTCGCGTTACACAGTTTCCAATTTTAAAAGTATCAATTTTAATTCAAGTGTGTTTTTCGATTATCCAGGCTAGTTCTGGTCCAGAAGAATGAGTGTAACTATGAGAGTGTTTGTATCTATGAACGGTTTTCAAAGTTTTCTAAATTATATCTAAAGGGAATAATCCGAAATAAATGGAAGTAAAAGATATAATTTATGGTATAACAATTCATTAGCTTCAAAAAGTACAAAGATGTTGATAAAGTAGATATATTTTGAGTGAAAAAATAAATACCCATTCTCTTGATTCTCTTGACGTGAATGAAGAAAGAGTGATATGAAATAGAAAACGTAATGTTGCTAAATGAAAGAATGTAAAATAAAGGAGAAAAAGCAGAACTCTAAAAACGTGTTAATCGATATTTTAATTGAAAACGAAAAGTAAAGTTGGAAAAACGAAACTAGAAATCCCGCAGCGGCCGAAAGAGGCCGAAGAGGAATCGAGCAAAATGTTTTTTCACGCGCTGTATGGAGAATGGAGAGGTGACGAAACATTCATGACGCTAACAAGGGAAGGATTTTCACAGTTTTTCTAGTTTTTCTTTTCACCTTAGTTTTTGATTTTTGTTTGGTAACTTTTGCGTTTTTTTTTAAATCTCTTGTTTTTCTCATTCACATCTAGCGAGTCTTGAGAATGGGCACCCAATTTTTAGCCCTCAAAATATGGCCCATTTTATAACCATATTTTTATTTTTTTAAGCTTTATATCATAAAACATCTCCTGTTAAGTGTTTATTTGACTTAAATATCAGCCTGAATTTCTTGATCTGAGCGAATTATTGCGAAAAGCAGACATTGACATTTTGGGAGATTTTCACTTTAAATTCATTTCTTGATTTTCTTTTCTTGTTAAAATATAATGTTTAAGGAATACAAATTATAAACAAAGTATATGGAAGATTTTCTTTTACTAGCTCTCATAACATATTTGAAAACCAGTTGTTAGCATTTTAATCTGTAGAAATTTCATTAAAAGCAATTTCCCGTGAAGAAATTTGAGCTGCTTAGAAACTTGTGAATTGGTTTATCCTTTTAGCACAAAAAATGAAAAAAAGAAAACTTTTAGTTTTATGAAAAGTTTACTTGAAAATGTAATGACAACGTTATTTACCAGAATCCAAGGCTAAGCGTTTTATCTGGAGTCTGGATTCCGTGCTAACACAAGTGTAGCTGACGCTGAGTAGCAAGAATTGTCATTTCAAGACTGTGGAATCGAGTCTAAGAAACAGACTATGCTAGACGTCGGCCAGTACAATGTCGTAAATGTGCCGTGCTGTCGCAGCAAATAATGACACACCTCTTGTTAACAGGTCGTCAAGACGGAACATCCAATGCGACGCTGATTAAAAGATAATTTTAGAAATAAAAAGAAAAATATCAAACCAAACGATCCAAAATAGACTTTCTGAGAGTACTTTGTATACCTGTTGGCTAATAGAGTGTATTCCGTTGGCTAAAAAACACCGTGCTGACCAAAGAATGAGCTACTGATCATGGAGATTTCATGCAAAGTAATTGGAGTGAAATGCTGTTTACGGAAGAGTTTTGATTCAGTTCAGAAAGTGAGACCTGACGTTTTTTTGTAAAATGGGAAAAAGGCACTCGAAAAAAAAACTATTTGTTTAGAAGCGATTACATTAAATGAGATGGCTTGGTAGCATCAGCAACTCTTGGTAATTTTTTGAAGTTGAAAAAATACTGTGTATGGTGGGATAAGCATGCTCATCTGATCTTAAGTAGATCTATTGAGTTTGGGACGCAGTCGTGCAACGCGCATATGTCAGACCAAGTCCTTATGTTACTGTCCATGACTTGGAAACTGCACTTCGTCAAGAGTGGCACATTATTTCCCAAGTCTCATCGATAAAATAAGCGTCCAAGTCTACGATTGGCAAAGAAAGATAATGCATCTAAGTCGTCTATACTCTTAGTAAATAAAATAGATGCCTCAAGGTCACATGGTTTCCACACTCTCCACACTTGACAAACCTCCGATACCACAGTTTCGGCAAATCTCTCATCATAATTTTCCCCCATGTTAGCATGTTTCCACACTCTCCACACTTAACAAACCTCCGATACCACAGTTTCGGTAAATCTCTCATCATAATTTTCCCCCATGTTAGCATGTTTCCACACTCTCCACACTTAACAAACCTCCGATACCACAGTTTCGGCAAATCTCTCATCATAATTTTCCCCCATGTTAGCATGTTTCTAAGAAGTTGCAATATGCAATGCAGGGAAAAATAATTTTTCGAGACCATTGTAATGAAGAGAGAAAAACGTGTAGAATATGAGGAAATTGCTCAATCTGGAAACGACTTTTCTATTTACAAAGAGCATAAACACAATTTTTTTTAAAGGTTTAGACAGTTTTTAGCACAAAGTTTTTAGCAATAAATACACAATGTGCATATTTTTTACTTAGACATTTTTCATCAAAAAAGGAAATCTGTGTTTGAAGCAACTTAACCAGATTCCCAGGTTTCGCAATTACTAAATTGATCATCTGCCAGCCTGAATATTGCACCAAGAAAATGGTTTGAAATTTAAACTTTTCAACTATACAAATTTACTGATTGCTAAGATTAAAATATTAACGTGTAATTAACTTGATATAATTAAAATTATATATTTTTTTTAATTCTCTTTAGAGAAAATGGTAGTCCAGTTCTCCTAGGTCCGGCAAAAGTGAAGCCTTTAGATCAGTATCCTGTACCACTCTCAGCATTTGATGTGAGGTGTGTATGCACAAGGTTTTTAGATTATTCTCGAATGAAAGGATTGCTTATAAATTTGCAGAGAAAACTTCCTGTACACCATTTCTACCGACCTGGTTCACCTGATTATTGTTTAAGAATACCAACAACTCAGATAAAAGGAGTTTCCTTGTTTCTTGAGATTCTTCTGTTTGATGGCAACTTTGTGAGGAATGGCGAAGATATTACTGAAATGGCCTACCAGCTTTGTACTCATAAGTACTTATTTAGGTGAGTACTATCCATAATTGAATTAACGATGTTATTGTCATTGTAGGAAGCACATTCATTGAGAGTTTGTGTTTTTAAATTTATTTCGTGTTTTTTCGTGTGATTTATTAAATTTTTGCATTATTAATCTCAAACCGAATCCAATTTTTTTAAAGAAAATAATACATTTATGATTATAAGGTAAACACAAACACAGAAGCCTACATGGAAACTTTTATTCCTACCCTGTTTCCTAAATATATATNTCAGTCCGAAGAGAAGCAAAAGAAGGCCTTATTTGTTATTTTGTATTACTAACAATTAGAATAATTACCCCGATTCATAAAAATAGCAAAATGAAACTTTTTTAAATATTTATTTAGTTTATAAAAAACATACAGTTCGAATTGGAGATTTTATCTTTTAGGGGTGCACAACCTTTTTTAGTTAAGGCACAGCTGGTTGACTAACGAACAGGCATATTTAATCATGTTGGCGCTTAATATGATAATTTTTTTATATAAATATAATTTTTATGACATTTTTATAGTAAATGCATATAAATGCAAGGAAATGCATATATATTTTAACTGAAGAAAATTTATAGGCTTTCAGCAGAAAATTATAAAAATTAACTTGGATTTACAATTAAATTGGTAAAAAAGTGATTATTTAAGTGTTTAATTTTGAACTTGCGTGTGGTAACATCGTAGTAAATAAACCGGATTTTCAAAAACATGAGGAAATGCGTCGCCATAACTGCCTTAAAAAATATTAAAAAAAAAAACATTTAGATTTCCAATGAAATTGGCACAAATGAAGAAACGACGCATATCAAATAGTGATCAAATAAATGATCAATTTATAACTCACAAGTCTTAATGTTATATTAAATGTATCTGGATTTTGAAACCCACATGGAAATTGGTACTTATATATGCAAAAAAAGAAAAAATCGAAATGTAACTCAGAGATTCTATAAAATTAACAAAAATAAAACTTGTCAAAAACTAATTACTCAAAATCCAAAATTCGAGCATAGTTTTAAAATATTGTTTGTTTTTTAAACTGTGTTTGAATCCCATAGCAACAACATTTGTAAAAACTATAGAGAAACATTGATTTACCATAGAATTTGAGCATATTGAGCGCATCAAAAAGTAAAGACTCTTTAAAAAAAAATTCCAGGTGCTTCCTCATGCAACAGGTTGTGCACCCCTAGCAAACTTGTTATTTAGGATCAGTGACAATTAGGGTATTTACTCTTAATTACCATGATAAATTCGAAATTTATAAATTAATCTTTATTTAGTTTTTCCTTTTGACACAGGGTCAAAATTTGAGATGTCTATCTTTTAGGCTACCATTTCGTCTTCATTATGTAACAAAACTGATGCATATGATAGTAAAAAAAAAGATATTTCTTTTCTGCGTTGGAAACTTAGAAAAGAAATATCAAACGAGTGAGTAGGCATAAGCAAGTTTAAATTTAAGCCAGGGCTCGAAAAAACTCCGAAATTTTACCCGTCCCCGAGGACGGCTTGTCCAACAATGTACCCGTCCTCCTTTGAAACTAACCCGTAGTTTCCAAATAAATAAAAATATAATTTTCTCTTATTTATTACAATCATTTATATAAATTGCACAATGAATTAGTAGTTACTAGGATTACATTATACAGTAAAAGAAATACTAGGTTACTAATAGTAAAATTTAGTATTTCTTTTATGAAATAATTTTAATGACAAAGGTCAAGTTATCTGGAATGCCAATTTATCCGAGAGTACTGCGTTTTCTAAATGAATCAAATATGACGTTTGCCAGTTCCACAATCAAGCCAATGATTAACACGTTCACTGCCTGCCGAGAACAGGTGATTATGCTGTGTCTTTCATTGAAAAGTGGTAATCAATAAAAATAAAATTAAAGTTAACTTTTATTTCCTAAACAACTACTTTAGTTTTTAAAATTCACAATGACTTTATTTCAATAAACAATGTGTTATTTTGGTGAGAAAATATCGTATTTTCCGAAAAATAGTTGGACGTTAATATACGCCTTGCTACCACTTGATCTGTTTTTTTAGACACAAACTACTAGAAGGAATTTCGTCACGCCCTGGCGCGGGATCGGCAGCGAAAGTGTTAACAGAGGTTTCTGCACAGAAATCTGAAAGGGGTTTTCCGTTTAGGTAGATGTTCATAATTGCGTTTAACGCTTTTTGTTTAAGACCAGTACGTAATGTGTTATGTTGTAAGTTCATTGCTGAAAAACCTCTTTCAACAGCTGCAATACTCCCAGACAGAAAAAACCTCAATTCCACCATGATCAGTATGTTGCTGTATTTCTTGATTAGAAGGTCATTTTAGAAGTGAGGCGCTAAACTCTTGTAAGATAACAAAAATTTAAAATGCATCACGAACATTAACGGGAAAATGGCCGTCCGCGCGGACGTTGGATTCGAGAAATTTGTTGTCCGCGGGGAATTTTTGACCGCCGAGGACGGGCGGACGGGTGACTTTTCGAACTCTGATTTAAGCTTCGTTTAGATTTCTCTCGTGCGGGCTGCGCATAGCTGAAACAAACTGAGCCATATGTTTGGCTGAATGATAAGTAAAAAGCATGGACTACAATACTTAATTACTGCGATACACTCTAACGTCATCACGACGCTTATATTAAAAGTTCTTCGGGCTCTTGAACCCTCTAGCAAAACCGAAAAAAAGTGTTTTGCTGATACAGCAAATCAGAATAGTAAACACTCTACAACTCAACTTAAGTGTCTCTATACTATTTCAATTTACTTCGGTATGATTATGTCATGAACAATGATTATATTTGTAGTATGTAGGAATGGAATACTTCTTTAATGTGACTAGTTTTAAAGTTAAAAATTATTGAATAAATATAGAATTGCTTTAATTTATTTCAGTGTTCCAAAATTTTTTCATACTGTTTACTTTTATAAGAACATAAAATTTTCTCTTCAGTTTCAAATCTTTGTTGTGTCTCGGATTACTGAAATTTAGAAACGTGTGTATTGAAAAAAATTATAGTTATAGGTTAAGAGTTTAAGAATTGCCTTAGAAAAATTTGAATTGTTAATCTTGAGTACAATGTAAAGTATTTCAACTACCAAATGCTGCTTTAATTTTTTAATGAATATACTATTTTTTCTCTTTTCTTGAGTTATCATACATTTTACTAACTTGATGAAATGAGAATAGCTGTTGTGTTTCTGTACTCTAAAGTTTAGAATTGGATATTTAAAAATCTGTGAACGGTTTACAATTTCCAATTATTTCTTAAATGTATACATTTAGAATTTCGGAAGTCCGGTCAGAGAAACCAAATGAATATTTAAAATTTCGCTCAGAAGAAAGTTTTACGAGTTTACTTGAAAATATAGAAAATATGGGAAAAAAAAGTTTATTTATATCCTTCGTCTTCAAAAAACAGAGTCGTCTTCGTCTTCAACACAGCTAGACCGAAGTAACGCATCTAATTTGTGCGCGAAGTGAGCTCGGATCAGTCCGAAGAGAAGAAAAAGCAGGAGCTTTCTAGTTAACATAAATTTTAACTATTATTTCCATTGTATATTATCGCATTAACTCGGCAGAATATAACCAAATTACTCATGTTCTTAATTGTTATTAAACTCGATGTAAAGATACATAGTGTACTCGAAGTATTTTTAAACAAAGCAAACTTAGTTGTTAAAGTTATATGAAGTAAATTTCATAAAAATGGCAATTTTTTTCCTTTAAAACATATCAAGTCTATTTCACTTGGCTCACTCACATCAAATCAAAAACAATCGCTTTATGATTCTTTGGGGATATCCTGTATTTTGCATGATATTGTTTACGTCACACTTATTTAGTAATAACCTTAGACTTCGTTCTATTGAGTATATAATAAGATTTTTGACCAATACAACACAGCCATATCCAACTGATTAACTGTTCCACTAACCAAACAAAATCATTTATTAAAATAGGGAGAGAAAATTATGTCCTATTGTAGCACTGGTAGACACAAAGTTGTCAACTCTTAAGAAATAATTTAATATTCAGAAATAGTTTTTACTTCAAATTTCTAGTTTTTCTCAGTATTCCTCATTTTTAAACTCCATTTAAAATATTTTAACACTCAATTTCAATATTTTTAAATATTCTACTTGAGTCTAAAAAACTGTATTTTTCTGTTTAACAGATTTTCAGTAGACTTTGGACTTCATAAGCCAGTAATGAGTCACGATGACAGAAACTTCCGTGCGACAACACAATATGTCAAATGGAACTCTCTATTTGTTCTAGATCTTCAAATCTGCTACCCTTGGGGCCACTCAGACCCCATGATAGAACCTAGAATACAAGGAATGAACCACATATACAGTGACATTGATTCTAAAGCATTTGAAGAGGGAAGATCTTCATGGTTTGGGACCGTACTTCGGCATTCTGTTGGGAGTTTAACAACTGGTGATGCTTACCCGCTATTACATAGGAATAAGGTAAATTACCTTATTAATAGTGATCTGCCTTTCATAAGAATAGTTGGTTCTTACGAAGATATCAATAACTACCAGATTCCCATTCATGCTTATTCTGATTTACAACCGAGCTTTAAAACCAATCAACAGAATAGCTGAACAATAAGTTGTTATAGATGAAAGTGAAATGTTTTCGCTGCTAAGAATAGTTTGTTGTTTTTTTTAAGTTTTTTTGCAAAGTTTAAAATTGTATTTTTATAAAATGAATTATTTTTGAATTGAATTGTTGTTTACTCTTTTATTATTTATTGATTATTGACTTTTATTGTTAATTATTAATTTTTATTACTATTATTTATTAATTTTTGACTTTTGTGATAATATTTTTTAATCTAGGAGTCATAAGTGCCAAAGTTTTATAATAAGTCATAAGTTTTAAATTTTATGATAATCTGGTAGCAAAACTTTTTTTAGCAGATACATTTAGAAAAACCAAAAAGTTTGAAATTCACGAGTTAAAAATTAAAGTTAAATTTAAGAGTTAAAATTTTCCATCAAGCAAACATAAACTTACGAACTGTTGTGGTTGAGTGTTATAAAAATATTAATAGTTGAGTAAAAGGAAATTTAAAGAGTGCTAAGGGTTGAATTTTAAAAGATCACAGATACCTACGCATTTGACTCATGACGTCAGCTCTAGCTCATCGTTTATGAACCAAAAGGGCGTTTTAAAATTGAGCTAAGTTTCTCCCCATAAATAGAATTTTAATTAATTTGAAGTCAAATACATCTCCACATCACACATCGAATTTTATGAAATATAATTCCTTCTCGTCCTCATCTTTTAGTCAGATTTATTATTTATGTTTTTTATTGTAACCGTGATATATTTTTGTTTTATAAACCTGGCAATTTCGATGCATAATTAGTTTATGTTCTACGTAGCTTCATGCCGGTATTTGTGTTAAGTAAGAAATATATAGTGAAAGAATTGAAATCCCCGTAAAAGCATCTTTGTGTAAAAGAGCAACACCTCCTAGAAGAACGAAGGCCTCAGCACCGATCAATTTAGTAGTTCTTAGTGACGAACATAAACTGCGCAGTCGACGGAAAAGAAGAAAGATGTCACTGCGTTTGGGCTACTAAGTTGCGCAGTGGTGGAAAATACAAAAGATGTCATTACGTTTGGACTACTAAAGGATCAAATTTCTTGTTTATGGTAACCCGTGCTAAGGCTCTTTCTTTTCTAGGAGGTATTGAAAAGAGTCACTTAAAAGAATTGATACATGACGGGCTTCGCTTACTCGAAATAGAATTTAAAGAACAGTTGCTAATATAAGCAAAGGTTACGTTTCAGCAACCACTCAGGATCGATTCCCACACTACGTCACTTGCAGGTATCCCATTACCAAACACCTGTCTAAGGTAATTCTAACTATAGCTGAACTTTTAATCTAATCAACAGAATAACTAAGAAATAAGTTATTGATGGAAGTGAAATGTTTACGTTAATCTTAACTACTTTTTTTCTGTTGGCAAAGTTAAGATTATATGTTGATACAATGTTTATGAAATGAATTATTATTGAATTTTATGGTTGTTTGCTGTCTTATATATTTATTTACGTCTTTTTCGATATCATTTTTCAACGGCAGTTACCGAAAAAAATACAGGAGATAAGTTTAAAAGTTTTTTTTTCAAAAGTTTTAATAAACATCATTATATATTAAAATATTGAAAACGACATTAAAAATCCTTCATACATTTTTGTTTGAGCTATTGCGAGTTACTGCAAGCTACTTTTTGCTACATTAAACTCGAAATTTCAGTTGCTTAAATGCGTTTACTTAATACATTTGTTTCATTTGAAAAGTTTAGAGAACCACGTGGTTAAAAATAAATATATAGAAAAATAAGATTGGTTGGAATAATCAAATAATTTTTCAAAAACTATGTATGAAATCGCTTAAACAGAGCAATATTATAAAATTCCATTACCTCAAGGGGTTTACTTTCTTTAAGTAAACACGGGAATCACACTCCCGAGGTACCCTAGTGATCTTTCTCCATTATTTTAATTAAATTGTGAGCAAAACTTGCAATTAACATGAAAAAACTTCGGTGAGAGTTTCCTTCAAGCAACGCAATACAAATGTGCTCAGATAAAAAAAAATCCTCATTAAATTACGCATCTCAAGGAGTAGCAGAAGATAAAATTTGGTTTAAGTTTAAAATAGGTGCTCTCTGAATTTCGATAGCCACTCTTGGGAGACAACGATTCGGTATAGGTGACCAGGTCATTTTCTGTCCGACACTGGCCCCATGGCTAGGCAGTTAGCGTGGAAGTTTGCAATAGGGCTGACTCGTGGCCCTGAGTAATGTAAGAGGTCTTAATTGCTTTGCTGCACATATATCTTATTTATATGCAGGCAATAGAATATAAGCAGCTATTCCATAGAAAGTTCCAGGATGTTTCCCAGACCGTCGCCAATTCACCATTGTGCAGCTCTAGTGCGACGTAAAGTACCTACCAGAACATGTGAACACATAAAAAAATGTTCAGTGTACCGTGAATAATAAAAGAAATAATAGTACTATATTTACGTCGTACTACATTTTCGCTTATGTTGCTCGCATATGCAAAAATTTGCGTCGCATATGCTAATTGCGACTGCAGAGGATATTGCTTTCCCATTTAGTAGCTCAATGAACTTTATGGTAGAGCAATTTAGCGAGGTCCGATACCTTATTCTCTCGGCCCCATCACAATATGGTCACTCACCTGCTCACTAACCGCAGTCAGAACACACACAAACATATATATACCCAGGTTAAAATTCTTGCTGGTATTTATCGCTGGACAAGCATGGAATGCTATGTACAATCAAAAATATAAAAATGTATAATAACTAGCAGTTATGTTGAATTTTTTTCTAATACGAAGTCCACCTCCCGAACACACAACTGACATCCGACCAAGTGCACATGCGAAATGAAGTTTTTTCTCTTTTTACATCACTCTTATATGAAATAAGACCACAGCTTTAGTTGCAACCATAACTCATTTAAAATTTCAGTAAAGTGTTTAATTACCAGTAATATTTTTATTTTCATTTTATAAGTTCATATGCCAGTATTAAAATTTTTAACATGAAACACTCATTTGATTAAGTATTTATACAAAGAAAGACACTTAAAAAGATTTATCATCTACTTCCGCCCTTGCAGCATTATTACAAATATCTTGGATCTCGTCCGATACATAACGATTTCTGTTTTTTATCGCCGACTCTATTTCTGCCGATTTTTCACCTTTTTTAATCAAAAATTCTCTCATTTGACCTGAAATGAAAATAAGATATGAAGATAGAAAGGAATTTACAAAAATTAAAATTTTTAAAAAAAAACAATGGTATAGAAAACTTTCAGCTTAGTTCAACTTGTTAAAGTGCAAAAATAATTTATCTTTAAATGAACTAATAACCGTCTAAATGTGTGAAAGTCGAACATTATCGGTTCTTCGGTAAAGGAACAAACCACATTTTTTAAAGTCATAATAGAGATTTAACAAATTTCAATTAAAATGACTTTCTGTTAATCTTATTAGTATTTAAAATATGCCCATAGATAACTAAATCTTTATTTCAAACAATTATATAGCATTTCTCCATAAATCTTTGCACTGCTACAGAAGGAACAATTCTCTGCAGCTTTTTTTTATTTAGTACTTAAAAAAAACATTGCATATAAGTAAAACAGCAAAATTTACAATTTAACCAAATATTTTTTTTTTAGTAAATGAAAACTTGGGGTTCAAAAACAAGATGTATACTGGAATGCAGCATTTTTACGGTTTTTTTATTGCAGGATATATTTTGAGAAAAGTGGTTTGATAACTATTTTCCTTCTTCTGCTTATATTATCGACACTGAGATAAAATGTCAGATAACTAATAAAATAAAAAATAAAAATCTGGCAATATGTTGTTTATTACATAAAAATTCTCAAATATATAAAAATCGAACTTTTTTTTTGTCATTTAAGGAGATTTTCCCTTTGCACAGTGTACATCTTCAAATTTATAAAAGAAGTACTATAGATTAATTAGCAGCATACTCTTTGAGTACTGATAAAATATTACTGACTATTTCAGTATTATCCTTATGTTTATTTATAAAACGCTTTAACCCAACTAAACTTTTATTTATTGGTGAAAGGTTCAAGAGATAAAAAAATTCACAAGTTTATTGAAAAAGTTAAATATTATTTGTACTTTCTAATAATATTTTTGCATGTTTAAATAAATTGTATATACTTGTGGAATCGTGAAATTAACGTTGGTCAGTTGGAGGTTGCCCTCCCTTAAACTTCTAAGTATTTAGTCCACACTCAATGGTTATTACCTGAAATCACGGCCAACTTTTCAGGTGTAAGTGGTGGCTTTGAGTCTGGCGGCTTTGGGGTTGGGTAGCACCTGAAACTGCTTTTTTAGGCCCGTATCTGTTTCTGCATGCTTTTCCAGCTACGGATCTGTCAGCTAATGTCGCAGGTCCCCATATAGCCACAGCAAGACTCTTGGTGAATTTTTGAACATTGTCCAACTGAAACAGTTCATTACACACTTTTTTGTTGATGCAAATTCCTCCTCCAAGTTCTACCTGTATGATTATATAAAAACCAAAGAAAAATGCTAATTTAGATCGCGTAAAGAGGTAGGAAAAAAATAGTGTCACAATTATGAGGAAATATTCAATTTTGTGACACAAACACAGTCCAATATATGCAGGAGTCTGTCTAGACATTTTGTGAAAGGTCCGGTTTTTTTAGAAATTGTGAAAAAATTACTCTCTTTCAGCCTGGATCCTGCTTTTATGAATTTGTGCAAATAAGATCTGGTTATTACAAAAAACTTTTTCAATGAGCTTTTAAATTGTAGATAGATGCAAGATTATGCTCAGCACTGCAAAATTATAGTAAAAAAAATTTAAAATTTCAAAAATTAGCAACAATTGCTGCTTCTAAATTAGAGATGCAACATACAAATATTTGGTATTTAGCCTATACTGCTGAATGCAGAATATTCATTTCGGACGTATAATGGAAGAATTGTCTGCTGAAGACAAGACTTAATTCGTTTACATCTGTCTTTCTTGTTTTCGCCCCTGGAAAGGGTTTATTCGATTAACAAAACAATAATGAAGATAAAAACGAACCCTTCATAAATTTGTTTATGTTAAAATATTTTGTGAAGGGTCCATTTTGATGAAAAGAAATTTTGTGAAG